AATTTCTAAACTTTTAGGCTATTTTTTTTCAAAAAAAATTAGGAAATTAAAAGGGCTTTTAAACCTGGTTGTTTTGAAGTCTCTCAGAGCCGTAGAGATGTATTCAGATAAGTGTTTTTCCATGAGTGCTACTCTGATCCAGGCTCTACCCTGAAAGAAAGAAGAAAGAATCAAATATGAAAAAATATATATTTTGCCTACTATTTCACAAAAAATATAATCTTCTCAACACATAAAGAATAGCTCATTTAAAATATACATTGAATAAAGACTAAGAAAAATATTTAGATAAAAATAGGTAAATGCTGACTATAAAGAACATATATTTTGTTTGTCAGAATACATAGGGTATAGCATATCAAACTTTCTATTCTCTGATGGAATAAAATATTCATACTGAGTTACTTGCATTACAGGCTTCTTCTTAATCATATAAAGAAATCATAAGATACAATCCTCTATTTCAATACCTAAGTCAACATGCTAATTAAAATGAGGCCCCTTATGAAACAGGAAGAACAGAGTTCTCTTTCAGTAATAATCACTCTAATACCATTATCCAGAATTTCCCATTCTAGTCTTCCAGAGGGACAAAGGTTTTACATAAGTGATAATGAGCCCCAAACTGCATGATTAATCACAGGACCAAATCATCCGGAGTCCCATGAGAATTCTAAAAACTATTATAAAATATTTAAACTAGAAACAACAACAAAACACCCAGGGCTGAGGGTGTATATCAGTGGTAGAATGCTTGCCTAGTATGCATAGAGCCCTGGGTTTAATCTTCAGTACTGTGATACAAAACAAAAACCCCAGAAGTTCAGCATATTCTAGCACAGAATCACAGAAATATTACCATTCTTGGTGGTAATTTAATTTTACTGAAAGTGTTAATACCTTTTGATAGTTGAGATTAGCCATACTTTTTTTTATTCTCAGAAGTGTCTCTTATAGACTCTTTAGAATATAAGAGATACAATTGAGAAAATTTTAAAATTCAAATAATTTTAATTTCACTCAACTCTTTCAAAAATCTGTAGAAAAAATAATGAAGACTGAATATAGAGAATATCAAAACACTGCAATGGCAGTTGGGAATAGAGGCAACACTAATCAATATGTATGATGATCAACTGCCAGTAAAGGAGGAAAAGCATGAACATATCTATGAATCTGGTGAATCAACCAAACTTGTGGACAGGAAAGGTCAAAAAACAGCCAGTCTAGGCAGTGATGAAACTAGGCTAGAAGCAGCAGTAGTGCTGGGAAGAAAATGAATAATTTGTGTGTAGTTAGCATGCCAATCAACTTGCCTATCAAGCTCAACACCCTCTTTCAGCTTACCCTGTGCTCAGTCTATTGTTCCCTTTGAATAAGGATAGGAGAATTTACAGTAAGCTATGGTTGAATGGAACAAAGGAAGGAAGAGGCAAACCACTGGCTGGCCAGCAGCCTCAAGATTTTCTTTTGAAATTTTCTTTAAAGACATAGAAATCAGCAACAGTGTCTGACTCAAAAGGCTGCAATGTCATCTATATAGAATCAGGGAAAGTTGTTATCCAAGAATCAAGCATGGGAGACTTCTATTACCAACAAGAACTATGGAAAAAGTCCTGCTTCCTGATGTATTCATCATGATCCACACAGAACTGGGCTGCACTTAGTTTCCTGTCCTTAGTGTGTGTGTGGAATTCTCTGTTAATAAACTGTGCTAATTTTAATGGCCTCTTTTATTTCCACAAAAGAACTTTTACTATAATGGAAGATAAACCGATTTTAAAAGGTTGTTAGGTCCAACAAGTAGAAAAGCTGATGCTATTAACAAGCTTATAAGCTATAATTAGCAAGTTAAACTTTATCAGTTGATAGTGATGAAGCACTAAAGTTTAAATAAATATAGTAAAAGGAGTCAACACTTCTTAAGAATGCAACTAATATGTACGAGGCCCTGTTTTAAGAGTTTCATATATATTTAGATAGTTAACCCTCCCCAAAACTGTGTGAGCTAGGTTACTATTCTTGCCCTACTTTACTATATGAGAAAATAAGAAATTAGAAGAGAGGAAACTCATTTTTTCACCATCAAACTGACCAACATAGTTACATTAACACCCATATACTCTACCTTGCTATTTCAAGGGATGAACTGTCATCACTTAAGATAGTGAAAAAACAAGTCACAGAATGGACAAAGATATTTGCTTTTATACATCTGACATAAGACTCTCATCCATAAAATACAAAAAGTTCTTCCTAATCCACAAGAAAAAGATAATCCAATTTAAAAGTGGGCTTGCATGGCAAAGATTTTTTTAAATTATAGATTAACTTCATTAGTAGATATCAGAATATCCAGATGTGCTCTTCCTTTTTGTATTGGTTTTAGTGATATTGTTCAAATAATCTGTTCAACTATTTTTGAAATCTATCAGTATAAAGTTACTCATAATATCCTTTTAGCATTTTTAATGTCAGTAGGGTATATGGGCTAGCCTCTTCTTCATTGCTGCTATTGATAATTCATCATCTCTCCTTCTTTCTTCTTGAATAGCCTTGCTAGAAGATTATCAAGTATATTAATCTTTTTACAAACATCTACTTTTAGTTTTGTTAATTTTCTTCTGTACAACTGTTTAAATTTTATTAAGTTTGTGTTTTTAATTTAAGCCTTTTTTCTTTTTTATGTTTATATATATATACATATATATATATAATTTGTTTTAATTAGTTATACATGACAGTAAAATACATTTATGCACTTTGGTGTGTGTGTGGAATATAATGGGATATAATTTACATGGGATATAATTTCTCATTTTTCTGAGTGTACATGTTGCAGAATCATATTGGTCATGCAGTCACATATATTCATACAGTAATAATGTCTGCTTCATTCTACTATCTTTCCTATCCCCATATCCCCACCTCTTCCCTCCCATCACTTCCCTCTGCCTAATCTAAGGTAAAGTTATTCTTTCCTAGTGACTCCCTGCCTTATTGTGAATTTGCATCCGCATATTAGAGAAAACATTCAGCCTTTGGTTTTATTGGATTGGCTTATTTGGCTTAGCATGATATTCTCCAACTTCAACAATTTCCTAGCAAATTCCATAGTTTATTCTTCTTTAAAGTTGAGTAATATCCCATTGAGTATATATATATACCACATTTTCTTTATCCATTCATCTATTGAGGGACACCTAGATTGGTTCCATAGTCTAGCTATTGTGAATTGAGCTGCTATAAATATTGATGTGGCTGCATCATTATAGTATGCTGATTTTAAGTCCTTTGGATATAAACCAAGGAGTAAGATAACTAGGTCAAATGGTGGTTCCATTCCCAATTTTCTGAGGAATCTCCATACTGCTTTCCATAGTGGTTACACCAATTTGCAGTCCCACTAGCAATGTATGAGTGTATCTTTTCCCCCCACATCCTCATCAATTTATTGTTGCCTGTATTTTTGATAATTGCTATTCTGACAGGAGTGAGATGAAATCTTAAGAGCAATTTTGATTTGCATTTCTCTAATAGCTAGAGATGTTGAACACTTTTTTTATACATTGGTTGATCGAGTGTATTTCTTCTTCTGTGAAGTGTCTGTTCAGTTCCTTAGCCCATTTATTGATTGGGTTATTTGTTTTTTTGTTGTTAAGTTTTTTGAGTTCTTTACATATCCTAGAGATTAATGCTTTATTGGAGCTGGATGTGGTAAAGATTTTTTCCCAATCTGTAGGCTCTCTCCTCATTTTATTAATTGTTTCCTTTGTTGAGAAAAAGCTTTTTAATTTGAATCTATCCCATTTATTAATTCTTAATTTTACTTCTTGCACTTTAGGAATCTTGTTAAAGAAGTGAGATCCTAGGCCAACATAGTGAAGATTTGAGCCTATTTTTTCTTCTATTAGGCACAGGGTCTCTGTTTTAGTGCCTAGGTCTTTGATCCACTTTGAGTTGATTTTTGTGCAGGGTGAGAGATAGAGGTTTAATTTCATTTTGGTACATATGGATTTCCAGTAAACCTTTTTTATTCTAAGTGCAGTTTATATATCATTTTCATTATCATTACTTTCTAAATATATTTCAGTTTTGATTATGAGTTCCCCTTTTATCCCTGAGCATTTAAAAGTCCTCAGTTTCACTCATAAAAGTGTTTCTTCTTCCTTGTTGTTTTATTGTTATTGATCCCAGCTTAATTCCATTAAATAACATACTCTATGACCCTAATCTCTGAAATTCATTGAAATGAATTATGGCTCAGCAAATGATTAATATTTGTACATATCCTGTGTATGTCTGATAAGAATATGTATTTTGCAGTTAGCTTTTTAAAGAAATATATATTCCATTGCCCTAGAATTCAGATTTATTTCTATATTTTGAACTTTAATCAAAATTACTTAAAAGCCTATAATCTTTATCCCTCACAGATCTGTTTCGATTATCTTTTTTATTCTTCTTGATTCCAGCCATTGATCTTTGTTGATAAATTTGATGAATTCTGACTGAATAATGGACATTGTTTACAAAATTTTTTAGCATTCAAATACCACCTTTCTCCAGAGCAATTCTTTTTTCTTGGCAGGAGTACAGAATACTAGAAAATCACCCTGTACCACTTAGACACCACCTTTAGGCCTTTTTTGGAATAATCTTCCAAATTTACCTTAATCCCAAAGTAAAGTCCTGCTGGGGCTTTAAATGAAAGCCTGGAGTTTTTTCGGTACTCTTCCATCATGTTTGCCCTTGAACTTTTGATATCTATATCTCCAGTACAAGGCTGTGAAATCTTCAATTAGTTTTTTGATCTCTTACTCTCTGCTTTCATACTGGCTTATGGACCTTGTTCTTCTTTCTCTCTCTCTCTCTCTCTGCTTTCATACTGGCTTATGGACCTTGTTCTTTCTCTCTCTCTCTTTCTCTCTCTCTCTCTCTCTCTCTCTCTCTCTCTCTCTCTCTCTCTCTCTCTCTCTCTCTTGTCCTACAGATAACTAAAAGCTGAGTGCAGCCACCTCAGAAAATCACACTTACAACTTCAGACACATTTATCTGCAATTCTTTCCCTAAATCCTGGTTTCACTGGAAGTTCCATGCTCCAACTTCTATTTTTCTAGCCCAGTAAAATGAAAAGAACCACTTTCACC